ACTGGTATGATTATTTGAATTTACGTCTCACATTTTTTCAGATATTTAATGCAAGACAACTTGCTCTAAAGCTGATAGCCAATGTAACATATGGTGTTGACTTGGCAGCAAAAGGGGGAAGGGGGGTGGGCTAAACTATTTTGCAATCAATTTATGCCCAGCAACCTTTCTAGGTACTCGACAAATTGATCAGTTTTGTGGTAGCCCTTTACAATGACTGAATCAGTTTTCCCATGATTATGAAAGTGGACCACACTATAATGGTCATAACTAAACTAATATAATCAGAGAAGTTCTGCTAGTAACAATGGTCAACAGAAAGGTCTACTCACAGCGAATCTTTGGAGTTCTAAACTCAGATGAACTAAAGTGTGACCACTGCACTTATTGACATGGAAGTTTTCTTCAAAAGAATTTACTTGTCTTTTCCTATAGGTTTTTTGCTCTTAAATATGCTGCAGATGCTGCATGTATCACATTACGAGTAGGCCAGGTAATTTAGCAGAAAGAAGCAGCTTGATGACAACCTAGCAACTGCTTTGTGTTAAATTTAGATTCAAACCTTTTTTAAAAACATCTTTTCACATAAGTTGCTTGACGAGGTCCAGTGTTCAAATTGCAGATTATAATGGCAAAACCAGTTGGTGGTCTGAAAGAAAGAGCAACCTGCAAGAATGGATGAGGACTAGCCTCTGCACTGAAGTCGATCAATTGTCTTCATATTGTATCTCACTGAGCTGGTTTTGAACTTGTTTATGGATCTCTTGTTTTCTTTTGGATGCCCAAGAACTTTGGCTTGGAAATTTTTTTTTTTAATTTTAAAAAAGAAAAATTTCTTGTTCTTTCTTCAACTGTTACTTGAATCTCTTCAATGGCTGTAATGTTCTACTGAAAATCTGATGAATTATTTTTCATTGTCTTAGTAGGTTCTACAGCAAAGTGAAATCCCAGTGTGATGTGATGCTCCTTATACGTTGGAACGAGGATGTCATAGATCCCAAAGATAGTAATTTTATGTGTCTGAAGTTTACAATAAATTGCCAGATCTGGTTTTTGTTTTGAGAAATTAACTTGGCCAGTTCTTCAACCTGCACACTTTTTCCATTTCTGAAAATTTTTGTCCTTTTTGGGTCTCTGGGATATGGCGGTGGGTTTCATATGTTGAGCCGTATGCTATACCATAACTGTGCCTTACAGTTGCCTTCAGAGTTTTTCTAGTACTGATTGTCGGATGGTGAGATTTCAGAATTCAGAAGGGCAAGGCTAGAAATGGATCAGTCCATTTTTTCAGTGAGCTTCTATACGAAGGTTTTAATTTTTTTACTTTGACTTCAAACAAGATTTTAAAATTAATGAGTATTAATTCGATTAAAATTAAGTTCTTATTAGTAAATAAATTTGTTTTTGATAACCACTTACAATGATTGGATCAGTTTTCCATGATTATGATATGGGACCAATCACATCTTCCTCCTATAGCTAGATAGCCATCCCAAATTGTGTTGTATTATTTCAAATCTTTTTCCATCCAATCTCTAATTTCTTCTCTCCCTTCATTTTGTGTTTGAGAAGAGCAAAACATGCAGATCACCCCTTTAAGTCATCATGTGGTGGCAAATTACCCGCTCAACCCATTTCACCCGCAAACCAACCCCTCAACTTAACTTACCTGTAGTGGCAAATCAGCTCCTCTTAAGGTCGACATCATCATTCCGTTGACTTTTAACAAGCCGCGCATCAACCCCTACCTATGCGTCTGATGTGGCCTTTTTGCTGAGATGGGTAAAAGAAGCCACAGGAGCATCGATTCTCTTTGGAAATCAGAGGTGACATAAGCTATGCATTTCCTAGGGAATCAGATATTCACATTTTGCACTCAACGCTGGTGCCATGGTTGCATAAGGGGTAACTGAAAACAGTGTAAAGCTTGTCCATCCTCTTCCTTGGCGGCAGCTTTGCTTTTGACTTCCTCTTTCCCATACCTCAATTCCTTCTGTGGATAAAAACTCGTACTGCATCCCGTGGAACACCTCGGATAGATATTGATTTCCTCCGGCCAAGGCCTGTGGATTGCTTTAACAAGCCTTTTAGTATAGGAGAAGCCATGCCCTGATACCAAACACACAATATTTTATTGTTTGGACGTAATCTTCAAACAAACCTCAATTGATTGACAAAAATGAAGAGGCTTACAAGAATATTGGCATGAGCAAAGATAACGCCACCATTATCAGCATAAACAACAACGTCTGCTCTGTAGCCTCCATCAAAGAGACCATCCCACAAGTTCCTTGTGGATGTAGAGACACAGCAATGCCCTCTCAGTGGCGATTCATTCATTATTAACCCCTGCCGGTGATAAATGGCCGTTGCTGGACCAGGCAACGGAGGTGGCACCGGCGGAGCAACAGGAGAAGATTGCCCACCAACAATGTCCGTCCTTTCCAATAGCTTCTTAAATGAAAAAAAAAAAAAAAAA